AAAAGCTAGAATTTGATCTTACACGGTTCACCGTTTTGTCTCGAACGGAGTTTCCTATTTTGGAATAATATATGAAAGCGTTTAACGTTTTTCATCGTTTGATTCACAAATGCTAAGTAAGTTCTAGGTGTATCCTATTGATGTTTAGATCACTTCGTTTCTGAGCTTCAAGCGATTTCAAAGATTAATTGGTTTGAAAAGATGAAACTAGAGTTGTTGTTTTTTCGTCCCGTGTTAAATTTCCCAATTAATGAAATGAATTCCCTATCTACTACCTGAAAATCGGCGACGTCGTAGCTCTTTTTCCAGTCAAGTTCAATTTAAGTTGTTAGGAGGTTTCGAATGCTTTGAAGGGCGTTCGATATCATATTCCCATTTTTCACTCTCTTCTTTGCTTTTTCTCGTTCTGTTGTAAGCAGTCAGTGGCGGCCTCAGGGCAAGAGAACCCGAGCATTTGCCCAGAGGAAATTGCCCTGGAATTGCCCCAGCCACTTATCAGAAATTTAAAAAAAAAATAATACAAAGCTCGTGAGAGCTTTTTTTTATTTTAGCCTATTAATAAATCTAGTTGATACTGTAGTCTATGCGCGAAACGCTTCATACATTTTATATTTACATGACCACCTTTAAATGAGCATTTCATTACGTTTTTTTCATAACGACAAAGTCTCTATAACCTCCACTGTAACTTACAGTTTTTACATCACATTTTGTTGGTTTTTACAAAGGGCTATAAAGAAGAAACGAACTATCGTAGACATCATTTTGTGGGACCAAAACATACGCCAGGACAAGCTTGATCAAAAAAAGCTCAAAACCTCATTTTCTATTACAGCCTTTTGCAATGTGGGTTTCGATATATCCTTTGATGAGCATAGTACCTAATAGTAATTAGAAAAAATACGATATGCGGATTGGATGACTTGTTGGTAATAAAATATAGAAGATATTAACGAGAGTACACACCTCACTAGGAACCTCGTATTAGAGGACGGTCTATATAAATAACAAGAACCGAGGGTGGTCTGCTAGAACAGAGTTGGATCGCGTCCAAGTGCAGCAACACTGAGCGAGCTCGAGAGCTCTCTATGATAAATAGCTACCAGCACAGCTCTACTCTACTCCCATCTAAGTCAATTAACTATATTATTGAGAAATAAACTGACATCAAAATATACAAATAGGTTTAGCAACTGAGAAATTAGATATGGCTGTAACAACTGAAAAGTAAATAACAAAATAAAAACAGAAGAGAAATGTTAGCATAGCAGAACAACTCACGAGAAGTATGAGATAAAGTAATAAGTTAGGAAAATCGATTTGTTGATCGGCAATCGCATCTAGAGTTGATCATGTCAATCACTCAATCACTCACCGAGTGCTCGATTAATTAATGACAATTTCAACTAATTACTTACTAGTAGTTAATGCAAATATAAAGCGAGCCAAAATTGTTACTATCACTTGAGAAAAGAAAAAAATAAGGCACACGTAGAATACTAACTTAAGATGGTAACTAAAATCCTATATATTATTTCTAAAAGGTGATTTTTTGGCGGAACTCCATAACTTCGTTAATTCTTCATCAAATACAATTATGGACCACTCATTTTGAAGATGTTGTTCTTCTTCACATGCGAAAAATAGTCCCATCTCCCCGAAATTTCCGGAAAAAAGTTATGGAGGAAAAGAACTTTTATTTGCAAATAACTCAAAAAGTATACCCTTTTTCCCCTATTGTACCCAAGATAATTAGAAATATTACTATATTACCAACAAAACAAAAACAAATCTTAAAATTCTGACAATACAAAGATACAGTCCATTAGTGTTGGTATACTTAATAATGTCTGCCTATTTAAAGATATTGCATTTAGGAATAGAATATTCTACTACATTTTTTTTTTCCGGATGATATATTAACTTTATTATTTCTTAAAGACATTTGGTTGTTCTTACATTTTATTTTTTTTAATAATTTAGAATATTCTATGATTGGGGCATTATTTTGTCTTTATTACTTTTATTATCTTTCCAGTCAGCGTTTAAAAATAGGTCCTAGCAAAGCAATTTGTATAAATATTTTGGTCTATTATCTTTAATGGAATATTGTAATTGACCAAGGAAAAAATATTAATTCCTTCCTTACGTAATACATAGGGACTACTAATTTCCATTTGTTTTACTATTTCTTCACTAAACAAAATTTTTTGCGAATTTTTCGAACGGGCCAACTAGTATACCATAATTTTTCCTCTACTTAGTCTGAAAAGGCTCAATTATTTTGAATAGGCCTCGATATCTTTGTGAATTTTAGTCTTATTTTAGTCCTAGTTACTATTTATATATTTATTGGAAGCTGAACAAGAATATGAATTACCAACACTTTTTCAGACGTATTGTTCAACATAACACAAAAATAATTATTCAAATCTGGCTGGCCAGTTGCTCAACTTCAAACAATGTCTTAAAATTCTATGAAGGACTTACAAAAGATACATCTTCCAGTATCGATGTTAATTATACCTAAAAAAAAATCACACAAAACCAAGAAGGTCTGGAAAAAACTAGTATTTTCAAATGATCATCGATTGCCATATAAAAACGAGAGTTTATTTAGAAAGAGGTGACATAAAACCGATTCGGTACCTTTCAATATAACTCCGATTGAAAGGCGGCCATCATTTAACTAAAGTTGTCGAGGAACCCCTACATCCCTCGCAATGCAGAGAACTGAGAAGCTTCGAGCCAGAAACTATTTCCATTCCATCAACCAGTTCCGCGAAGAGCGACAAGAGGTCCTGTTTCTGCAAACTGCTGAAGACGCAGCCATTGTCCCGGACTCCAGTTCCAGCCGGCACGAAGAGGGCGTGCCGGCACGTGTGGGCTGCTTGGCCAATGTAAAAACAGCTTCTTGGAAGAGTTTCTTCTTTACCGGGAGAAGCCGAGTGGCGGATTTACCACACAGGGAGAGCTCTTTGGTCTCAAGGAGCGACCACAAGTAGTTTGTCAAATAGCGAAAACAGACACAGACATTTTAATACGCGTGTAATCCAGAATAATATGTATCTTTGAACTATAAAAAAGAACAGAAACTGTAATATCTGTTATGTTTTCAAGCAGTTAATCATTTAATAAAAAACAGCACTATTAGCACTTAATTTGAAATTAGTTAATTCGAATTGAAAATTAAATACCCAGAATCGTCAAAAAATGTAGATGGAAGAAAATAAGATGGAATGTGTAAAATATATTTAATTAAACCTAAAGTTAGAAGGCAAGATTCGAAACATATTTGTAAATAGACAGCTATTTACGCTGAGCTCAAGGACGACAGGACACCGTCCTTCCAATACATTTTCTTTAAGGACCCTTTTCGCAACTCTCGTCTCTTATCTCCAATTGCCTATTTTACAGCCTTTGATAGCGAGCTCCTTGGTAAAAATGTAAGGCTCAAGGCAGGCGTTAGCTATGTACCTTAAGTAAATAGGTAAATCAACAAATACAAAAATCTTATTCAACCGAGACAATGTCGTCAACTTTGATATATATTAACTTTTCATTGCATGCTCCTTATTAAGGTATCAAAACTGTTAATACATAGCCAATGTTTATTCCCGAAACTCGTTAATGTAGTATTATTTTTAACAATCGTTTAAATGTGTATTTTTTCAAAAATAAATATATCTTTTTGATATTATGTTAACATCATTGAATCAAGTTCACTATAGTTTTTCCACAAATCTCGCAGAAATATTAAAATACTAACACGAGAAAACAAAAATCCTTAATATGGTTTGAAATAACTCTGAATGGCAGTGCGGTAGGATCGAAACTGTATTATTAACAGAATCAAGGAAAACGTCAAGTCCTTCTTTATATCAAACCAAGGACAAAAAATGAATTACATAACCCTGTAATTTATCTGATGGTATCAACTGTTCCTTATCTAAGACAAATTTACCAAAAGATATAATAAACCTGATTGCTATTTACTTAACAAAGAGAAATTATTAGGGCTCCATAATTTGAGGGAACATGTCTAGAAAATATAGAATCAGATAAAAAAATTGAAACGTTGATAAATTCATTTGCCCTGGGATTCGAGAAAACATAAAATAATTGAAACAGCTTGTTGTTCATCTATAACATATTTTTAAACGATATGATTGAAACGTGTATTTGGAATATTGAAAAAAAAAATAATTAATGCATAAAAAACGAACCGTTTATCTAAAAAAAAAGTTTAATTTATTGATAAATACAGAATATATCATTAATTCAAGGAATCGATATGACATTGGATTTGAGAAAGTAAGGATGGTTTAATGCAAGAATACCCACGTCAAGGGCTTCTCACCTTCAACTGAAAGTAAACCGGGGCTCAAAGGTGTAGGGCTCAGTCCCTTGGGCCAAACCTAGGAGAAGAGGAATTAAAAGAAAAAAGAAAAGAAATAAATTCCAATTATTTATTACACCATAAAGACACAGCAGGACCTATATCTGTTCTGAGAAGAATATGGGGTGGAATCTTATAGAATGAAATTTGGAGAAGAAGAAAGAATGAGGAGCTGCGGGAACTCTATGGTGAACCTTATATTGTAGTATTGATAAAAAGAGCCCTAATCAGAAGGTTAGGTCATATGGAAAGAATGCCAGACCAAAGAAGAGAAGTAGGGTTTGTTGCTACAAGAGAAGCCGGATGGCAAAAGAAGTAGAGGGCACCCTCGGATCAGATGGCTGGAGGATGTTGAGGACGATCTGAGGCTGCTGGGAGTTCGAAGATGGAGGAAAGTGGCACAAGACCATGGAGATTGGTTGGCTGTAGTAGAGGAGTACCGGGTTCTTGCAGGACCGTAGTGCCATAATAATAATAATAATAATAATAATAATAATAATATTACACCATACGGACAAGGGCGCCCATGAACGATTGCGATGATATTCAACTTTCCGAATAAGATCATTCTATTGGTTGCTCTTACATTCAATTAAAGAGTTCAAAAAGGTCTAATCCCTAATTTGCCTGTAGTTGGTGGATGGTACACCGGAGACTTAGCGATCAATTCATGGAAATCAAACCCTTTAATGGACTGTTCCGCATAAAGACCCAGTAGGACCGATATCTGTTCTTGGGCTATTATATCTGTTCCCTGTTCGATTCCTACAAAACGATAAACCTTTCCCCAGCAGAACCTATGTCTGTTCTTAGGCTATTATATCTGTTCCCTCTGCAATCCCTACAAAACGATAAACCTACAGTTCTCAAGTTGGGTCCTTTATCCACTCCACGGCTTCCTTCGACAAGCCCTACCTTGCCTTTATCATTCGATACAATCAATCGATCATACTAAAGAAGAGGAGGACTGCTGAAGAGAAGACCCAATACGCCACGATATCGCCCCACCACCCATACCTAACCACACTACCCGCCGGCCTTGGGGTTCGCCAGACTGGATAGTCGCTCGCCTTAGCATCCTTTCTACATCGGGGCGGTGAGTCACTTTGCCAAAACAGATTGCTCGCATATCGTGGCTGAGGAGGGAACTAGGTCTCTACCGAACAGGATCGGTGCAAATCAAACGATACTTAAAAATAATAAAACAAACTATTGTACGAAATTAAATAATGTTTTTTTAAAGTTCTTTAATTAATTTAATTATTCAATTTCAATGGAAAACTGACATAGCAGTTAATGGAGAGGCAGAATTAATGAAAGGGATTGGCCACCAAGCTTTTGCCATCTACTATATTTCTATAATTTATTAACTTATACCGAACCAGCGATCTGTCACTACAGATAAGAGTCCAGTACACTATACTCTATGGTCATTACTTTTTTTTATTCCTCCTCTTCCTCGCCTTTTAGGCTCTTCCTTCTCCCCCTCCCCGTTGTTAGGATGAATTAAATAACTATTTCTAAGTAATCTGGAGACAAATAATTAATAATACAAAAATCAGATCAGTCAAGATTAGTTGGGCTACGAGTCTCCCTCATGGTCTTATTATCTCAATAAATAATAATTGATAAGTCAACGTCTCGTAAGGATTCAGAGATATAGATAAAAGAACTCACAAAAAGAGTATCACATCCTACACAGAAGTGAGATGAAGCAGCAAGATAAACAAGATGTTAAAATGACAACGGCAAAAAGAATGGCGGTTTATTAAGAGAAACCAGTTTGCATATCCTTAGGAGTATATAGGTCATGGTCCTAGACTGTCGGTCAATTAACAGGAAATGATCGGCATCGCTGCTCCAACAGGAAATGTCAACATCTTAATTAGCCACGGTAGGAGGAATATCGATTCTTCCGATGGACATCTGATCTACCTGGACAGCAGCGGTCGGGAAGTTCATTAACTTAGTAACTAGGACACTAGCGGAAGCGTGGTCGGAATGGAGCATGATAAAACAATATGTTATTTCAGATGGCCGACTTTACAGATCTCGTAACTAAAAAAAAAAACAGTGAAAAATGTCTATCTAGGTCATATAAAAAAGTATTAAATGATCATCGAATATTTATACAAATTCTCAAATACATATTTGGCCAAATAAAACAATAAATATTAAATTGCAGGGCCCAGTTGCTCAGAAATGGCTACATACAGCTTAAGAAACAGTCTTAATATCATCTACCTCCTGGTAAGAGTAGAAAATATTTTCAAAGTTCTGGCTTAAAATAAATTCAGGTGTTCCTCTTTCTAACTTGAGGTCTTAAATAAAAAGTTCATGCTATATAAGTTGAGCTACAATATAGAGTTATAACTCAATATGAAGATACAGTACGAATTCTCCCCGAACAACAAGGAGCTGATTGCGAATGGTAGAGATAGATAAGAAAGAAGTAATCTGATCGTGTACTTCTCAACTACGATCAAAGAAAATTTCGCGATTCCTTTTTTAAAACGGTATTTTAACTTCAGGTTTAAAATAATCTTTCTTGCAGGTATGAGAAAATGTGGATGGTTAACGGACTGCAACAAGCAAAATTCTTTAAGTAAACAAAACATTAATACCAAAAGAAAAAAAAGTTATGCATATTTTATCAATTGTTGAGTATAACAATATGAGACATTTCTAAGCTTTAGAAAGTGCTTTAGACCACTCGTTAGAAGTGAAAACAGCAAAAAGCGAGATTAATAATATGAAATATAAATCGTAAATAATAGCTCAACATAGCTGAACATTTCCCTCGCTTACAGGATGCAGTTCCGACTTTAAGCTTCTGAGATATATTAATCTATACCTTCCATAAAACCCTTTAATTTAGGTTGCGGTTCTATTGTATACCAATATTTTTCAATTATTTATATTAAATCGTTCCAGTAGATATTGGTAAATAAATTTTCTACATCAAAACAGACCAAACAATATTTACCTATTGTCTATTTTATTTATTCTTTTAAGCATTCGATAAACCTCCATTGATTTTTTACATCATTGTTACTGTCTGATTTTAGGTTATTGAGTGTGGAATTGAGATATTCAGCCATTTTTTTCAGTTTGGCCATTCATATTATTATTAATGATAGGACTAAGTGGAGCACCATTTTTATGTAACTTTACTAATCCATATATTCTAGGTGTATTGTAGTTAGGTTTAATAAGATTTTTTTAAGGTTGATAACAAAGTTTATTAAATAAAATATAGACATCAAAGCAAGGTCGCTCTTAAAATGTCCTTAATGAATATTGATGAATTGAATAATGGCTCATTACAAAGAATATGAAACGCTTATCATTTCCCTCGGTTTCCCCTCATTTCCCCTTACAGTATACAGGTCCGAGTTTTAGTATCTGAAATATTTTAATCCATATATTCAACTAAGATTGTTATCATTTGGTTTTCCAAACTATTTTTTCCTTTTTGCCTCCCTCGCGTCAAGATACAATTTTGAATTATAGCCTATTAGAGAGAGGATGGAATGCTGAACGATTTCCTCGCTCACAGTATGGAGGACAGATTTATTGTTTCTGAGATATTTTAATGTATATGTAAAAACATTTCAATTAGTCGAATATAGCCGACTTTATCCGAGCATTCAAATCTGACAGCTCGATCTAATTCACTCTCCACAAAAATTTCAAAAAGCGCCTAAAGAAATTCACTAAAAAACAGCCTGAGCCCTTGTATTGGCCTGGCATTGAGCTTTTCGATTTAAAGAATGCCTTAAATCATCAAATTATATTTTTTTAACCGTTCGAACCGTTGTAGAGTGTAAACAAATTGTTAAATTTAATTATTAGAAATTTCCCGGTGGCTGTTCCCGCACTGCCTTCCTCCAACTAATGAGCTCGGAACGGTAATAAGTTACGACCAGATAATTACATCGTGAAAGCGCGCCATAACCTCCCCGACATGGCAGCCAGCAGTAGACTGCTAACTGCCGGCAGTCGTTACTAAGCAGTTACTACCTGAGCCGAGCGGACACCCTGTGCCGCCTCCTCATCGCAGAGATCGCTGACCGCTCGGAGCACTCCACACCACTCTACTGACCGCCCTCCGCTCTTCGGGGCCTTGGCACTCTTCTCGAGGCCGCCCTCCCCGCCACTTCCTACCGGTCCGGGAGGATGGCTGCTGCGGAGTGCAACGGGCTGGATTAGGCCATCTAGCTCGGGTACGGCACCTCAGGGCAGTCCGGTTAACAAAGGACCATGGCATACGGTTGAATCCTGGTGAGGCCTCCATTGGCGGAAAGTTAACGGATTTTTTTATTATTTACCTGCATTTTGAAGACATAGGCTGTGTGGTAGAAATTTTCCAATTATAACCTAACAGTGAATTTTTGTCTCTTAGTGATTTTTTATTTATTTTTACTGAATTATAATAACATCATTCCAATGGAGAACTAAGGTATCATAGCTCACTTCAACATTTATGCAGGGGAAAGAGCACGAATTGAGGTAAACTATTTTCTTTTCATTTGGCGAACTATTTCATGAAAATATTTAAACCTGATACACCTGGATTTCAAAAACTTTAAGTTCTATCTACAAGTTCTTAAAAAGTAACATAGGAAGAAGCTCAAGCAATATTACAATAGCAGCTGGAACGGAATCAGGGTAAGAGTACGAAAGTGCCCAAGAGGAGGTTCCGTAAAGCAAAAAGTTTTTAAGGGAGAACTTTTTTACGGGTATGTCCGGTTAACGAAGGATGAGGCCTCCATAGGCGAAAAGTTGACGGATATTTGAGGAGAGAGGAGAGGGGGTAGGCATATTGCAGGGTTGTGTATATTTGAGAGGGGCATATTTGAGGAGGTGCATGTTTCGGAATTAAGTGTATTTGAGAGGGGGGCAAATACTAATAAAAGGAAAATACTTAAATATAAATTTTACTTTCATTTACACTGTTTTCAAGAAGAGAGCAATACATTTTCTTAAAATAATAATAATAATCTAATCATTTATATATTTTTTTTATTATATTATTTATATATTTCTAATTATACATTATTATAATATTGGACAAATAGGACTTCATTTTTATTAATTAGTCTCCCCCTCTTGTCAATAGGGCCCACAACTCTTGTCAATATATTATAAAGAATATATAATCATATATTCATTTCTAATCCTGACAAAGCCTTAATTATAAATGGCTACAACTTTTATAGAGCTCTGGGCCTTCCAAAGCCAACCACCCTACAGTTAAAGCAGTATTTGGAGCAGAACGGATCTGATAACAATCAATGATGACAGTTAAATGTCTACGTTTCGAACAACCAGATTTTCTTCTCTTTACGGATGACACGCCGAGGAGGAGTGGACTGTATTTGGAATCAACTCGACAGAAAAGCCATATCCATATCCATAAAGATTAGCATTAGCCGGCTGAGGCAAAACCAATCAGTAATCCATCTCGTAGATAAGCTGATATAACTGGGCACATCGGAGCGAGATAAGATAAGCAATTTATTTCAGTTATTTATTAAGGTTAACAAGACATCATCCAAGGATGGTTATATCACCAATTGTTGAGTTGGTAGTGGACATGAGAATCCCAAATCATTGCGTAATATCATCAACATCACTCCAACCTTACGTAAACCTACAAATACAATATATTTATCAGTTGTCTTCATTGGTCGGCTGACTTTTCCTTTTCAATAATAATTGAAGAAGCATATAAAAACAAACAACACCAAGTCTCTTTGGCTTCACTAACAATATTCTAGAATTGGTTCTTCCCGTTATTTTTTGTACTTATTCTATATCTGAGGTCGAATTTTCCATAAGAAGGACAAAACATGTAACATACATAGAATTCAAAACTACTAAACCTTTCACAACCCGACTCCTCTTTTTTATATAAACCTAACTCAAATATTAAATCGATTTACTAAGATACTCTCAATTTCTTTCAGTAAACAACCTTTCCCCTGGCCTAGAGCCAACATTATCTCCATCACTCATATATATATATATATATATATATATATATATATATATATATATATATAATATATATATATATATATATATATATATATATATATATATATATATATATATATATATTCC